GGGCCTTGGGCGCCCCCCGCCCCCAGGCCTCTCCCCCGGGCCCCAGGGTCCCTCAGCCCCGCGCTCCGGCCCGGGGCCCTGTTTAACAGGATCCTCCCGGTTTCGCCCTGGGAATCGTTCCCTGAAGGCCTTGGGGTGAAACCCGCGCTCGGCTCTGGGATGCCGCTGCCATTAACCAGGAGTTTTTCCTCAGATGAAGTTATCCGCAAGCGACTTCTGATCGATGGCGATGGTGCCGGTGACGACAGGCGGATCAATTTGTTGGGGAAGAGTTTCATTAAGTGGCGTAATTCCGGATCTCAAGAGGAAGGGTATTTGTTTTCCAGTTTTGGGTTTGGGTTTTTTTTTTTTTTTTCAGTCTTGGAACTGATTAGCTCGCGTTTCAGTGCAAAACCGGGCTTGAGCCGTTTTGAAAAGATCCAAGTTAAAATGTATACATCAGCTTTTCAGTATGGCCCTGTGGTGTTGCCAGTACAAACGGTGTGGTAGGAGATGAGGACTAGAGACGGGTCAGAAATTACTGAAGGCTGCTGGCTGTATCATGAAATCTGCCAGCGCCGCCTGAACGCCCTCAGGATTGTCGTGCCGCTGCGTGATCCGTCCAGGAGTCCCGCTATTATTACAGGATCATGACTCGAATATTTTAGTTGGCAGTTCTGCCTGTGTTTGTACTGCTGGTATTGCTGCTGCTGCAGTTCTTTTTAAAAAAAAAAACAAAACAAAACTGGCTAAAGTAGTAAGGGCTGAGCGACAATGTGATGTTCTGCTGTGGGGTCCCTACTAATACTGGATATAAATTCCTGGAGGACACAATATAACAATTGTGTGTACAGAGAAGCACTGCAGTATTAAACCACTAATCTTGATGGTCACAGAGCTGGCCTTAGCTGGGAAATTTATATGCCCTGGGTCAACCTGCCTGTTGCTTTAATACTCGCTTTGCACCTTTAAGGACATGATGGTAGAATTAATGGGTGCAGCGTTTCTAACTGCACTTTCAAAAACATTATACATTGAATCTTTGAAATACTTTATTTCTTTAATAATGGTTATTTACCTCTTCCTTGTGCTACCTGAGGCTTTGTTTTGTAAAGGAAGGGGCTCTTTTTATGCTGCTTGGGAATAAAGCTCTTGTCTGTTTTCAGTTACAGCCAGTACCAACGAATGCTGAGTACTTTATCTCAGTGTGAATTTTCAATGGGAAAAACTCTTCTGGTGTATGATATGAACCTGAGAGAAATGGAGAATTATGAAAAAATCTATAAGGATATAGGTAAAGATGAGAAAATATTACTGTTTTCTATTTGACAGTTTCTCTTTTATGAACAAGCTTGAGCCCATTCTGGTGAACGTAATATATACCTATGATGAGTGGTTTGGTGGCTTTTTTTCTTAACAGATAGTGCTCATACGTATGCTGTAAGCATCTTTATCAGTATACAAAATGCATACACAACTAAAAGCTTTTTTAAGTGTATGTAGTTTTGAAGCTGATGGAGCTAGCAGGCCACCATATTTTTATAATTTAGCAGAATGGCTTGTTTACATGTATTGTTTGATTTCAGTATAACTCCGTATTATCTTTTTTTTTTTTTAAAAGAAAATAGTATAAGTGCAGCACATGAGAAGATTTCTGAATGCAAAAAACAAATCCTGCAAGCAAAAAGGATTCGAAAAAATCGGCAAGGTAAGGAGCAATATCTGTATTTAGACTGGTCGGTTTCATTGTTACCTTCTAAAATACATTCTACTGGACATTAGATTCCAAATTTCTGAAAGCGCGAGGGAATATGCTGGCATCGTGAATACTGTATTTAGTCCGGTGGGTTCCATACCCACTACTGAGTTTTTTGCTGGATGCGGCAGGCAAGGTTGAACCCGTAGTTCTCAGTGACATACAACATCAGGAGAACCTAAAACAGTAATTCGGAGAGATGTTTTCAGGCCAGAGAAAAACCCCAAAAGCGTTCTATCACAATTGAGGTGACTTGAGAAGAACTAAAGCACATTATTAACAGCGAGACAAGAGTTGAATAGACTTCCACCCAGCACTGAAGAGCATGCAAGTGTATTCCTTCAGCTCGTAAGGGAAAGCAATGTGTTGGCATACACAGAGACAGAGGCACCAGTTACACACCCAATAACTCTGTATGTGTCCTTACTGAATACCTGTTATGAGAGGTGTATTTTTTCCCTACTCTTAAAAATTCATGCTGATAATTTCAATTGAAACTTAAAGCGTTTCCCTGCAATGCTTATCAAAAGATCAGCATTTGAGGAGAAGCAAAAATTTGCTTTGTTCTGGATAAATGAAACGCAAAAAGAAAAAGTTTAAAAGTATAACAGATGAAAGGTTTTAAATACAACTGTTGGATCAGTTTTGTGGGTAATTTTAGACTAAACCAGAAATTAAGAGAACCTTAACCAGTAGGGATGTAGAGTTCTTACGTCTTCACAAACATAGGTCAGAATTGTTTACTTTTTGATATGTTCTGTCCAGCCTGCAGCACAGATTTTTCCACGTGAATGAGGTAGTTGACATATGTACAATCTCCCTATCAGGAAATGGCAATGTTAGTTGTCTATATAACCATAATATTCTTAATGTGTAATACTGTTTAAAAAAAAATCCTGTTGTTTCTGATGCATAATTTTATATTTTTTTCTAAAAATCTTAAGTATTTATGTGTAACATCAGCACCATTTTCTGTACATGTACATTGAACTGTATCTAAAACCAATGCTTACGCATCCTACGCAAATGACCCAAGCGTGCAGCAATGCAGAGCTATCTAAAGGTCGTGTTTTCTGGCCTCATCCTTTATGAATAACTAGCACTGGGTAAGTTTGAGGGAGTGGATAATGGCCTACAGTCATATCTGAAGTTTATTTAAAATCTCTTTTGATGTAATCATCTACTTTGAAATGTTAGCGCATTATATACATCCTCATACATGGATATTTGCAGGTACTTTTTTATGTATGTAAGGTGTTACGTACAAATTTGAAAAATGTTAAAACAGTTTTTCAGGGAGCAGAAAGAATCTGTACCATTGTATGTGACCTGATTTTTGGTTCTTGAATCTATACCTTCAGAATTCTTTAGACTATTTAAATTTCTTTCAGAATATGATGCATTGGCCAAAGTCATCCAACACCATCCAGACAGACATGAAACACTGAAGTAAGTATGAGACTACATTAAATTATAATAAGCCAGCAAGCTAGAAGTCACCAGATTTGACATTTCCGTGGTTTCAGTTTGACCTTTCCTCACTTTCATATAACTCCTTTTGACATGGGAAAAACTTGGGTTTTAAAATTGTGCCCTTATCAGCTTGCTTTAATTAATCTCTATCTGTATGGGTTCAGAAGCATTGCCAATCATTTTGTATTTGAAGTTTTCTCATTGTTAAGGTGAATAAGTGAACTCAGACTTAAACGCACATCTAATGGCAGTATACCGGGGACAAATGGCTCAGGGAAGAGAGACAGTAGGGAAGTGCTGTAAAGTGCGCCAGCAAGGGATTCAGTAGTCACACAAAATACATAATATACAAGCAAGTAAGGTGGAATGAGAGAAAGCAGGAGAAAGCTCTTGCTTTTTTTATGTTTCCGTTACAGTAGTTGTTCCTGCATGCCCAGTTATAACTACGTTGTATGCCACAATATAATATATATTACATATATTTTATATATATATAATATACCCCTGCAGGTTAGACCTACCTGTTGTCCAACTCATCTTACATGTAACTTACAGTATTGCTTGGACTTGGATCAGTATCTGTGCTTTTGGGTCATTTTGTACAGTTGTGGGAACATAATCTTTTTAACTTTATCAAGCCACAGAAACATACCAGGACTCATTGGATCTATGAGTTTGTTCTTCTTAACTCAATTAAAGATGTAGTGTGGGGTTACTGTTCTCATTTAAGCACAGCTTGCACCTATCCTATTGCCCACCTTCAGTGAAGTTGCAGGAGGCGGCTGTTTTTTCACATTCCGTGGTCCTTTATAGCAAAAGGAAGATTTTTTAAAATTACATTATTACCCCAATAGTAGGATTTTTATAGCTATAAGCCACTGAGAATATTTCACACATTTCTTTCTTGTATGTTGTTTTTCTGTGCCTTGATTTCATTACCACAACTTTGATTATTACAGGCAATTCTCATGAGGCTTGACTACTTCTTACTTCATTAGTCAGCACGTGCCATGTATCAAGTGAGGCTTCATAATAAAGAATTATCAAAAGTGAAGATTTTCAGATAAGTGAATTGATTAAGAATGGGAACAGCTAAATGAGAATACTTTTTTCTTAGAGGATGCCAGGCTGTTTAGGTTTGGAGGGGTTGTTCTCATTTTGATTAACACGTCCAAGCATAAGTTTCTTGAGGAAAGGTAAAAATGACGGTAAGTTACAGCTAGTAAATTTGGCATTTTGTCTTTTCTTAACCTTAATTTTATCATTTCTTTAGAAGACTATATTACAGTTAGAAGTACCAGTGTGTTTATCCACTGGAAGAATGGCTACTGCATATGCCCTTTTGTCCTTAGTCCTTTGTATCTGTAGTCAAAGACGCAGACTTGAACTACAGCAGAGTGTGATTTCCCCCATTTTACAGATGAGGAAATAGGACGTAGTAACAGAATGGAACATTTTTAAAGGAAGCTTGGGTCATAGATATTTTACCTTTTACTGACCTCTCCAAGTGAATAGACTTTAAATACAGGAACTAGATGAAGTTTTTACCCAGTGTTTTAATTATAAGGCTTCCTTTCTCTCCACTTTGAGGAAAGTACACAGAAGATCGTAATATGAATCAAGAAGGACCACCCTTAAATCAGAACGGAGGAAGCCTCACTAACAATGTCACGCTTTTCGTGGAATTCTTAATCACTAAAAACACTTGAGAAAACCTCCTGTGAGGAGAAATGTCATGGTTTATTGCAAGAGTTACATTTATAGCTTTTGCAGGTCATATCGCACAATCAGACAAAGTTCAGAAAAATACTTTCCTTATACTTTTAAGGGACTGTTTCTTGGAACAACTAGTCATACAGCACAAAAGAAGAGAAGGTGTTACTGGCTTAGTCAGAAGTAATGCACAGGAGCCAATTCAGGAAGTGACAGGAGCTGAACTACTAAATGGCAGTGCCCACAGTGTAATTAGATGCAGTATCAGAAGAGCTGTTAAGAGGACCAAGAAATGACACAGAGTCTTAGAAACGGAGATACAAAAATGAGAAGGCTAGGCAAAGATTCTCTGGAGAGGAAAGTAAAAGAAGTAAAATTCCAGATGCAGCTTGGATGTTACTAGAAGAAAAATTGCATGTCTTCTCACAGTCTGCTTATACCTGACAGCAAGTTATAAACAGCAAGATTTGGCCAAAGAGAAGGCTTGCAGAAACTAGAAACCAAATACTTCAAGAGATCGTTGTATGAGCCTATAAGCTCTTAGCCTGTTTCCATTACAGGAAGGGATAATGTCACACCCAACCCTCTTTCAGGCATTCCCCTCAAGGTACCAAGCATACTGGCTTAAAAAAAGGACAACACCCTCAGCACAAAACCAGACCTTTTTCCCAGCCATCATGAATTACTTGGGACTGGAGGCCTTTTTGTGGTGCCCTGCCCAGACTAGCTGCAGCAGATGTCAGTGCTTCAGAAAAAAAACGTTTGTTAGTTTGCTCATCCCTATATGGCTCTGCCTGCTAATTAATCAGGGATGGTCAGCCTTAATCCACTTCACCTTTAAAGAAACAGATTGTTCTCATTACATAGAGAATGAATTATGGTAGGCATTAGAGGAAAAGTAGAAGAGCTAAACTGGAGGTTTGAGCGTAAGAGTTGATGTTCCATCCTCATTTGAAAGCTAGTGTACGTTATGGTACCTGTTACTCTTTGTCCTACCTCAAAAAGGATTGTGGTCGTCCATGGCGAGTCCAAGTGAGAACAGAAAACAATCAAATGCTTGCAGAAGGATCCCAAAGATGTGTTGAAAGATGATGTATTTCAAAAGGATATGAATAATAATGAAGATTATAGGTGTTACATGATTCCTTTGTATCTTAATGCCAGAGGCAATAATTTAAAATAAAAACTGGCATTTGAGAAGAAAATGAGTATTTATATGGATCACAACGTTAAATTCTGCGTGCTGAGGCATAAGGTATATTTGGTAGTTTCATCAAAAATGTGGATTATTCTACATACACTTACTGTAAAGTCTACATGTTACCCACTACTCTGTCTGGTCAGGCTATTGTGAGAGATAAGGTACTTGACTAAGTGTTTCCTCAACTGTTATGTCTGGGAATTGTGTTTGTATATTGGGTGTGTAGGCTTATCAAATATGTTCTCCCTGCTGACTCTGTTTTTATTTAATCTACTCATGTCAACATAAAGAAATCTGTGAAGTAGCAAAGCCTATCAAAATGGCATAGGTATTTAATGTAACCCACTTCTTTAACTTTCATTGTATGGTCAAGTAAATAACATGTTAGTGGCAGGACTGAATTGTTATAGTCCAAATGCCTACTGTACAACTTGTATTCCAGCTTGGAGGCCTTGTTTTCTGTAAAAGTCCTGAAACTACAAGTTTATGACATAATAGTTAAACATTTATGTGAAGTGGCCTTACCTCTAACTTAATTTCATTTGTTATGCTTTGTTTACCTATGCTGTTTATTTAATGGTTCTTTTTCCTCCACTTAGGTCAAATCTATTTTTCAAGAATTTTACAGAACTTTTTAAAAATGCTTTGACAATTTCTTTTCAGGCAGCTAGAAGCTTTGGGAAAAGAGCTTCAACATCTTTCTCACATTAAAGAAAATGTTGAAGATAAGGTAGGTTTTTCATAGAGATTGCAATATAATTATTAGGAACATAATTAATGGAGAACCTGCTATGGATTGTGTGGCTGTATGTGCTCTCCATTCCCTAAAATATGTATTTATCGTTCCAGTTGGAGTTGAGAAGAAAGCAGTTTCATGTTCTGCTGAGCACCATCCACGAGCTTCAGCAAACCCTGGAAAGTAAGTGGTGTTCTTAGGTCATATATATAACTGGGTTGGGTTTCAGCAGATCAAAAGGAATCACAGCTTCCAGCAGTGGACTAGCGATGTGCAATTGAGGTTGGTGACCTCTTGCATCGGCAGCGTTTTTTTTCTCAGTAGTAGTCCAGAGCCTGAGACTGCTCAGAATTTTTTTCTTCTACAAGCTAGCCACCGTGTCATTTCCTGACTAGCTGCAGATTAATCTGTAGGCAACAGGCTGCTTTAAAATGTGGGGATGGAGAATAGCAATTTGAGGGATTTTTTTTTTAAACAGAAAAAGTATTTCTTACAGAAAAGTATTCTTGTGCATAGTTTCCAAACTTATCTGTAATTCCTGTTTCAGTAGTTTTGAACATGTCACTGCCACCACAGTATCATTTGAGGCTTTACTAAAAAGAAATGGGTATACAGGAAAGCTAAATGACTTACCTACTCAGACAGTGAGCCTGTAATAGAGCGGGGACTAAAACTGTCACACACAAGAGCTAAATTCAGGAATTTAGTCATACTCATCTTTCATCACACAAATACTTAGTATTTTCAAATCAGTGCTTACTTTTCATGCTCTAATATGGATAATATTGTTTTAGATAATATTTGTTGGATTTTTGCTGTGTCTTTCCAACATGGAGTAATTGGTATAGCCTTTGAGCATGACCTGATTAACATACATAGATGGCTATAAGAGCAGACTTTCATTCTCTAAGGCTGTCTAGATCTTCTTAAGCACAATGAAGCGTTAATCCTAGGTGCACTTTAGCAGAAGGTTATTGTTATTGTGTGTTACTAACACTTGCTTAAGTATCAGCCTCTAAAATACATTTTCACATCAATGTATAGATTACCTTTCAGCTTCTAGAATTTTGTGAAGGAAGTAGCACTTTAGTGGAAGGCACAGCTTCAGTTCATTAACAGGCAAAGAGAAGGCATGCAATTTGAAGCAATCCGGTACTGCTTGCTTGAATGGCTACTATAGGATTTACCCCATGTTTCCTGTAATAGTTGTTACAGATAACAGCCTTAAAAATTTTGAAGGATTTTTTGTTTGTTTGAACACAGCATTTTGCATAATGAGATGCTCAACTACACATCTAAGGCAATCAGTGTAAAATATTTGTGGGGCACGGCTCTGCAATATAGTCTGTAAATATAACCAAGCATGTTTGACTAACAGTAATACTGAATTTTAGATGATGAAAAACTTTCAGAAGCTGAAGAATCTCAAGAAACTCAGATGGAAACGGAGACCAAACAGTAGATGTAGTATGAAGACTGACTGTACTATTGAAGAATATCCAAGTGTCTTCACTTCGTGTTGAAACCAATAGTAAGAGTCAGAACCGAAAAATAATTTTTACTGCTTCTGTGAATTTTTATACGAAAATAATTGTTTTGCTTATGCTTCAGGGGAAAACAGCTACAGATCTGTGCAGACAGACACTTTGTGTTAATCCACAAATTTTGTAATTTGTGGCAAATATATTTTGGTTTACAAAGGCTGAATCTTCTGCACAGTACTTGTGAACTAAGGTGTTTGCAAAAAATTGTCAATAAAGGGTGTTTACAAAGAGTTTCCTATTTTTAGTGGACATTGAGCAAGGAGTAAGGGCTCCTTTTCTTACTTGACATTGGACCGAGGGCAATGCATCTTTGCCATGAGTCCCAAATTCCATACCCCCGTCCAGATGGGACCTAAAACTGAACTAAGCAGGGTCTTAATTTTTCAAAGTAGCTGCCATTTTGGAACTTACCTGTGAATAGACTAGAATTTGCTAGTTTCATATAAAACAAATTACTTATCCTATAGTATTAATGCTTGTCAAGGGGTGTCAGACAAGAAAAATCATACTATACTGGCTTTATTTTTTCCTTAAGGTGATGCAAAGAACCGCAGTGATCCAAGCCTTGCTATGCTGTGTTCTGTACAACCACATCAAAAGTCACACATTTAAAACTGCAGTTTAAAAGCTTTGTTCTTGTAGAAATAGAAATCTAATCCTGATACCATTTATAATCTGCTTTGGATTTTATCTGTCAACTGACCACTATGAAATACATCATAATTCCTGAAATAGATGGTGGAACCCTTCCTTTATCGTGATGACAAACGAAAGCAGTAGAGCAGCAATCATAATGTTAAAGACCCTCAGATATTTTTAATATTAGTAAGGAGGGTGGAATCTGTCCACCCAGATCATCCTGCAGTCCAAGAAGTCTGTCGGGAGGTAGGAAATACAGGTTTCAACCTTTCCAACAAGAGAATTGGATATGCTCTAAGCTTTTGTAAGGCAGGGAGGAAGGAACAAGGGGCAGTAGTAGGTCATGTTAGCAATGTTCTAAAACACCTGTTAAATCCAGCCTTCCAGTGGTTTGGATAAAGGAAAATGTTTTGGATCTTGCTCAGACTGAGTCATAAGCACACGTGGTTGAAAGAAAATGATGATGTTATACAGAATAGAGCTGCTTCCTCAAGCTAGGGGACAGTTGAGGGGAATTTCCAGGACTGTGACTTTGGACTTTGATAGTCTAAATGCCATATAATTCCCATGCTCAGTGGCTGTAGATCTCTGTGCACTGGGTTGAACAGAGGTATCTGAGCTCATTTTGCTCACATTCCAGGTTTGCTGAAGGCAAGCCAGCTGAGCGAGGAGTCATGCAACTTAGTAGCACAGTGCAGCCCTGTGCTGGTTTTGGCTGGGATAGAGTTCATTTTCTTCACAGTAGCTCATATGGGACTACGGTTTGGATTTGTGCTGGAAACAGGGCTGATGATAACTCAGGGATGTTTTAGTTATTGCTGGGCAGTGCTTACGCAGCATCAAGGTCTTTTCCGCCTCTCATCCCACCCCGCCAGCAAGAGGCTGGGAGGGGACACAGCCGGGACAGGGAGCCCTGTTTTCCTGGAGATGGCCGAACACCTGCCTGCTGGTGGGACGTAGTGAATGAATTCCTTGTTCTGCCTTGCTTGCGCGCACAGCTTTATGCTTTACCTGTTAAACTGCCTTTATTTCAACCCACGAGTTTTCTCACTTTTACCCTTCCGATTCTCTCCCCCATCCCACGGGGGGCAGTGAGGGAGCAGCTGTGCGGGGCTTAGTTGCTGGCTAGGGTTAAACCACGACAAGCCCCGGACTAACAAGCTGTCAAAAATCTTCCTAGTTCACACCTGGTCAACTCAGGGCACAGGGGAAGCTCAGGTTTGCCTGATAGAGCCTGCGTAGACATGCGGTGTTTCTTGTGCACCACCAGACTGGTAGGGGGGCGGGGGGATAAGCAAACGAGGGATTTAACATGAAAAATACACTGTCAAAAAGTATTTACTGTTCTGTTTTTTCCCCTCCTAACAACAGTGAATAGTAAAATATTTTGTAAAGCAGCAAAACTAAATCATTGCCAAATCAAGGAGGAGTCACTTTCATGAATGGATGAATTACGAAGATCATAAATCACAGAGATTCATGACCCTTTTAAAGCATATTAACATTTTTTGTGGTTCAAAGGCCCTCCGTGAGCTACCTGGATTGTGTTTTGGTGCAGAGGTGGATGACATTTACCCAGTAAGAATAGTCTCTGTAACAGCATTGCCATGAAAATCTCCATCCGCTATTTTACACGGTTCTTTGGCCATTGCTTGAGTCACTCGAGTATCTGCTCTCAGAACTTGCGCTGCTCTATATAGAACCTGACCAGAAACATAACCAATGTGTGTGTCCCTCTGGTAAGGAATACATATGCAGAAACAGAACTGGTACGGAAGAGAAGCAATACAAATGCATGGCAAAGTAAGGAGTACATTCTAGTTTGAATTAGTGATGCAATCTCAAAAAGAAAATGCCTAGAAAATCACATTGCCCTAGCGCAATGTGGCAGCAAGAGGGTGATGTCACCACACCGCCTTGGAGAGCAACCAGAAAAAGAAGTGACATCAATGCATTGCAAATGCAGCCTCAGTGGGACATCAGAAATCTTTGCTCCTGTTTCTTTTTTCCACAGCATTTATACCTGTAACCTCCTGAACATTAGATTTGTACAAAAAGAGAAACAAACCCAAATGAAACTCTTAATACCAGGCAACATTTAACCTGCTCTGTTATTAAGCCCCAAGTTCCAGGTTCAAATCTCCTATGCATATGTTGAAAATGGGTATCTGCATCTCCTCTGTTCTTCTGTTGAATTTTTCTTGGTGTTATATTTCCAAGGCACAGATGATAGTCACTGTGTCATCTCTGCCTGGAAAGCTCTCCGGCTATGATTGCTGCTGCTTACGCGCATTGACTCTAAATGCACACATATAAAAATCTGTACGTATATAAATTCAGGATCTCAACAAACGCACTATTTCAATAAGAAACGTTTCCTGTTCTTAGGATTTGCCTCGTCCCTATCCTGAGCTGAAAGATTATCACATGCCTAAATGCTCCGTCTTAATGCCATTGCCATGTGGATGCAAAAATACAAGCAGAAAGAGAGATGCTGAAGTGTTAAGCTGACATTTTCTATGCCAGGACCTGTTTTTCTGTCCTCTCCAAACCAGAGAGCAGTAGAGTGGAACATTGGACAGAACTGGTAACTTGGGCAGAATTTTTTTAAGAGAGATTTAGCAAGCTCCATGGAGGGATGGAGGAAGGAGGAGAAAGAAGGTCATGGTGACACACTGCCGAGTGATGGATATCATGAAACCATGGTAATTTGAAGACAGCTGCTGCCAGCAAAGAAAATTGCAAAAAATACATCCCAAAGATTTATGAGATCTATATTATTAGTTATTTTAGATACTTGTCATGTAAATTTTCCAGCTGTCACAGCTGACACGTACCATCCTTTCCTCCACTTCTTTACTGATGTCTCAGAAAGTTCTCCTTTTTTTGTGAGTTTAAAGAAAAAAAAAAATAATTCAGAAACACAGGCAAGGACTGTTCGTTTCACTCTGGGAACCTGTGTGATTTTTATTTCCTAGAATACATGCATTAGGGAAGTACTATACTAGTGTACAAACCGCTTAAAACGTATCTACATAACAGACTCCAGGGGAAAGCAAGTTAGCAACAGGGAAGCGCTCTACCTTTCATGCTACATCCTGATTCTCAAACGCATTCTTGGGTTACCTCAGCCTTCGTTTCCCAAATCTATTTTAATAAACATCATTGCCTGTGTTGCAGAAGTCCCTAGAAGCACCTCTCGTAGCCCAGGGCCCACGTGTCGCTAGGCACTGTGCAGAGGCAGAACAAAAAGGCTGTTCCTGCCCCGACGTACCGGTCAGCACCACGACCGCCGGGAGGCAAAGCCGGGAACAGCGCCCTGCCTGCAGACACCCCAGCGCG